GACCTGGTTGCCGATGACATTGTTCAGCAAACTGTTTAATGGAAGAGCTTTTCCATTAAAAAAAAAGACTCACTCTCACCCACACTGTATGAGATGGCACAACAGCGACATCGCTAGTGTTTACGCCGCCAGCCATCATCCTCGTCTCGTCCGCCGTCAATGACCGAAATGTCGGCACCCACTTGACATTGTGGTCAATGTGACTGCTGGAATTTCTTTTTCTAGGGGAAAGAATTTCCTTTTTTTTCCCCTTTTAGGGATGGAATTACCTCTCTTTTTTCCGAAGGGATTACGGTTGCCGGGCCGTTGGACCCAAAGTCTAACACGGCAACACCCAGCATGGCCCAGTTACACCTACCTCGGTTGGACCTTCTAAGCCAATTGGCTACAAAAACTAATAGCCAGATAAGTAAAAGAAAAGTCAAACGCTACTAAGAAGGTCAAACCGACGAACTACGTGGGCGCGTGACAATCGGTTTAACAAGTCCGGATCACCATCAGCGCAGAAACAAACAAACAAACAAAGGACGCGTCTAGCTGGCAAACGTGTGCCCGCTAGTGCCCCCTGGCAGCCTCCCATATTAGGTATGTTTTGGTCCCCCCTCAGTCCAGATTTGGAAAGGAAAGGGTTCACCGTCTCCCACGTCCCTCCGTCCACCCAGCTTCTCTCCCTCCCTTCACGCGCTTCACCAAAAGCATTGCCCCCTCTCTCCTTTCTTCTTCTCTCCCAAGCTGTCCCCACGCCCTTCTTCCTCTCCCTCTTCTTTCTTCTTCCACCCCATCGTCTTGTGTGACCACCCATCGAAGAGAAAAAAGCACCTGGTCCCTGGGCAACTAGTATCATTTTTTTGCACTACACCTGTTGCAGAGAAGAAAAGAGCCAAAAAAAGGAAGTGAGTAACTACAATGCATATTTTAAGCAAAACATGTATTGACAACAAGCAACTCTCGGCAAGGGATGAAAAAACAGAATGCCTGCTTACGTTTCTCTTTTGTTTCCAAGTACTGGTTGTTGTGTGTTTAGGCTTGCTTTTGGACTAGTAAAAAAGTGTGTTGGAAAACATAAAGGAGCGGCAACTTTTATGGTTGTTTTAAGCAAACACAGTGGTAGAAAACAAGCAACTCTCATGTGTGCTCATGTGTTGACGGTGAAAAAAATGGGGTAAACACATCTCTGAATTTTAATTTGCTTTGTGCACTGCTATTTTTAAGCAAAGTCCAGTTCAATCATTTAGCAACTCTAGAAAGCAGAAGCAAGTTCTAGGGGTGTTTTGAGCAAAAACAGTGTTAAGAGCAAACAAACTCATGTGTGGTCATGTGTTAAGGGTGAAAAAAGAGGGCTAGAAGCAACTATGGATTTTAATTTGGTTTGTACATTGTTGTGGTGATAGAATTTAGCGTTTTTAAAAGCACCAACATCTAGGTGGGCTGTTTTCAAAGCAAGTCCAATGCTGGCATTAATCAGCTATGTGTAAAAAATCGGTAAAATCACACACGATTGGTTCCTCTCTAGATAGTAAAGCATGGTATGGAGATTACCTGGAGCTTAGCTGCTCTAGGCCTTCCATGGCTTTGATATTTTTATATGTGGGTCCTGCAAAAAATGAATGAAACAAAAAAAAACTAACATTTCTTCGTTTGTGAAAAAAGGGGGAAATTGTTTGATCATTTTGGGTAGTTTGAAAAAAGACTATGCGAGAAGAGAGATGCAAAGTTTGCATCATTTTGAGGCAAATACAAGGCTATGGTGAGGCAGTTTACAAAAATTACTTGGGCAACTCGCACCGTGTGTAGCAATTGTCTGTATTAAGTTTGCATCATTTTGAGGCAACTACAAAGACAATAGTTAGGCAGTTAACAAAAATTCCTTCAGCAACTCACATGAAACAGCATGTGTAGCAACTATATGTAATAACTTTGCAGGAAAGGGCAAGTTTGCATCATTTTGAGGCAACTACAAACGCAATAGTTAGGCACTTTACAAAAATCCTTGAGCAACTCACACCAAAAGCATGTGTAGCGGAATAAGTTAGGCAAGTTTTGGCACTTTTCAGAGCCCCCCCCCCCCACATCGTGTCCTCTCAGTTTCTCATAGGTTTCTCAAATTATAAAAAATATCGCTAAGCAAGTTTTGGGCAAAACATAGAACCCAACACCCCCGGCAGTGGATCTCTAGGCAACTCACGCCAGCATCCCTAGTGACTAACTATTATGCGTTGGGCAAGTTTTGGGCCAAAAAAACTAGCCCTCTTGGGAGCGGATCTCTGGGCAACTCGCGACAACATCTCTAGTAGCTAACCATCGTGTGTTCGGCAAGTTTTGGGCAGAAATAGAACCCAACATTCCCGAGAGCAGCTCTTGGGCAACCCGCGCCAACATCTCTAGCAACTAACCATCATGTGTTGCAAGTTTTGGCTAAAAAATATACCCAACACTCTCGGGGACGGATCTTGGGCAACTCGCGCCAACATCTCTAGCAACTAACTATCATGTGTTGGGCAAGTTTTAAAAATTTCCGGCCCAAAATCGCCGACGATTCCATCCCCCGCATCCCGAGGCCGCAAACCACCCTGCGCTCAAAATCGTTGATTTGCCCAAAAAACGGACCACATACACCCTCTTCAACTAGTAGACATTTAAAAAAAGATTGGTTGTCATTTAACCAACTTTGCCTTTATACTGCAGAAAAACTAACTGGTGGGGAGCTTTTCATCCCAAGCAACATGTCTCTTTGTCCCAGGCAACAAGTGGTCGTCGTTTAGGCAACTTGCATCTTATACCAGACAACTAGTGATTCTTATTAGGCAACTTTGCCTTTGACCGCAATAATGGGCGCGAGGAGGTGGCATTGAGATTCTAAATAAACACGTATTATCGATCACAAAAAATCGAATATATAACACAGAAACAAACGATGGTGAAAATAGTTCAGTTCTTCAAAAAGAGATGACATTTACCTCTTGAAGACAAATGAACATGGTGTCGCTATGCTAGCTTCCACTTTTGGTTCCTTCGACATCCCTCTTGCAGCGGTGAACAGGTCCCCTTGCCTCTCCCACTGGCCACAGCTTGTTTGTGCATTCCTCATCGTCGCACCCTGTAAATTGGCCAACACTGAAAAATTTGAAAGGGATTTAAAATGACATATTCCCATCTCTCGCAAATCATGCCTGCTATAGAAAAGCTTGTAGTGTAGTATGTTCAGGCAACTACCTAGTAAACAGGAATATTGGGTGAAGAACATTACTAACAACAATAGTCTATAAGCAGACGAGTGGCTGAACTAGACGATAACAGGAAGCTGTAAACAAACATAAAGAACACAATGGTAAATCAATTGAAGCAGCTAGCGCCGAAAGTAAAGGACACAAAAATCTTACATAATACTAGGAGTACTAGTGAAAATTCGTTGCTTCTTCATCGGCGCATTGCATGATGTGCAACCTCGGCCTGAACTTTCCTTTCCTGCTACATCAGCCGGCCGGTAGCCAACATCCATCCAATTCAGTTCAGTTGACACGGGCTGAGCAATCTTTTTGTCTGAAGCTTTCTTGACACGGGCTGAGCAATTCAGCCAACATCCATCCAATTCAGTTCAGCCAACATCCATCCATCCAATTCCTTGACACGGGCTGAGCAATCACCCTACAATGGAGGCCCCAACAATTCTCGATGTAGAGCAACTGCAGTCCAGTTCAGTTGTAGAATCAATCACAAGCCAGTATTTTCCTGAAAATTGCCTAAGTGGTGGATACAACTTGCCCGCTTGCACTGAAAATTTTGTCTGAAGAAATGGAGAGCAGATTCAGTCTCTCCCCTCCCCTCCCAACAGAGCAACGAAAAGCATATGTGTATGCAGCAAAACGCATGAATATGGCATCACGTTGAGCATTCTTTTTTGAAGAATTGCTAAGTTTAGTCATTAATTAGATCGGCTATGTACCTCATGTCGTCCAAGACGACGCCATGCTCCGGCACTTCAAATGGAGCGCCCAAGGCGTCTGGGAGCAGTGGTGCTCGGACGAGCTGCACGCGCGCGACGTTGTCGGCCTTCCCGTAGACGGCATCGTCGTCTCTATGGCCGTCAACGACGCGCCCCTCGCCCGCGACATCTACTTCGACGTGGACGCCCCTGACGAGATGAGGTCTGTCGGGCGCGCCCACTTCTACTGCCGCGGGTGCTGGAGCAGCAACGTGTGGGCCGCCGACGGGGATGGCGCCCGGTGCTTGTAGATCTGCGCCTAGAGCCTGTCGATCCGGTGCCTGGACATGGCCTGCTCCGCCGCCATGGTCCTCGACGACCCCATCCAATCACGGCCGCGGTTCCCCGCCAGCCGCGCCCTTCCTTAATCGCAACTGGTCCATGAGATTTGGGTGGGAGGAGTGGGGAATTTCTGCGTCTCACAGCGAACCGAGAGAGAGAGGAGCGGGGAAGAGAGCTCGTCTATGCGCCGCTCGACGCGCGCTGATGTATCGTGGGGTCCCGACCAGGTAAGTGACAGACGAGCGCTCGTGCTGCTGTGCGTCCCGACCAGATGGTTCCCGTGGGCTGGTGCGCACACCAGTGATCGCATCGGACGGCTCGGAAGGGTGTATGCTCGATCTGTCTAAAGAGCCCGCGAGCACTTTTTACGTTTTAGGACAAACAAATCATCGAGTAAACAAACAGAAACGACCAAACGGGATTCCTCTCCAGTCCACGCGGCGTCGTGAACCAGACGAACCGCCCAGCCGACGGACGCGCCGACCTCCTCCGATCACACGGCACGGCAAAGGGGCCCAACCCAACAGCCAGTCGGCCCGCAAATCCTGGTCAAATCCCCCATACGTACGTACGCGCGCACGTGTAGCAATACGCAACAACTACGCTACCGAGCCCGTGCCGCTCTCGGTTGGTTCCTCCCGGGGAAGGCCGCTGCCGCACCGCACAACCACCTCCCCTATATATAGCGGCCGCCCCGATCGCCCTCAGCTTCGCTCGCCTCCCGCCCGCTTTTCGCATGCCCCCGAACTCGACGCCGCAGCGCCGCGCGCAGCTGCAGCAGCACCACCACCGCCCCGTCACCGCCGGCGGCAGGAGCCAGGAGGCGGCCATGTCGGCGGTGGCGTCCGACGAGGAGGCGTTCCAGGAGGTGGACCCGACGGGGCGGTTCGGGCGGTACGCGGCCGTGCTGGGGCTCGGCTCCGTCAAGAAGGTGTACCGCGGCTTCGACCAGGAGGAGGGCATCGAGGTGGCGTGGAACCGGGTGCGCCTGCGCGCGCTGGCGGAGCGCGACCCCTCCATGGTCGACCGCCTCCACGCCGAGGTGCGCCTCCTCCGCTCCCTCCACCACGACCACATCATCGGCTTCCACAAGGTCTGGCTCGACCGCGACGCCGGCGTCCTCAACTTCATCACCGAGGTCTGCAATTCCGGGAGCCTCCGCGACTACCGCGACCGGCACAAGCACGTCTCCCTCAAGGCGCTCAAGAAGTGGGCGCGCCAGATCCTCGAGGGCCTCGACCACCTCCACACCCACGACCCCTGCATCATCCACCGCGACCTCAACTGCAGCAACGTCTTCATCAACGGCAACACCGGCCAGGTAACAAACACCTCTATACTATACCTGCGCCCATCAATCAATCTCGATCGGTCGCCTGGCCCTCGCTAATTGCTGCCTTTCCTCTCACAGTTCTTCAATTAAACAATTATTGAGTATCTGCAATCTCCCAAACTTTATATTTAGAACTGCGCTATACTAGAGACTCTCGCCTTCTCGCGCACGACGCCGTTTCGCATAATTTAATTGGTTTAATCGTTTCTAAAAAGAATTTAATTTAATCTTGTTTTAGTTAGATTGGAATACTCCTAGATAATGCATGTATCCGGTTTTATTTAGATTCTGAATTGGTGATAAACATAATTTTTACTTATTACTTTCTCAATACTATCATAGTTTTGTGCCTAAGTAGGCAATTTGGGGTAGAACAGTAGTGGACGATGTAGTTTACTGCTAAACATAATTTTTACTTGCTACTAATACCTCAATACGATATTAGTTTTTTTTTTTTTTTTGCCTAAATAGGCAATTTGGGGTAGAACAGTAGCACAAGATGTAGTTTAATCCCTCGCAAAAAAAAAACAAGATGTAGTTTAATGCCTGTTGTCTGTTGATCTGAACACCGACCCGTGCATTAGGCCGGCGATTAATCCGCGGACGGGCGCTTTTCCCACCTTTTCCGCTTCTTTTCTGTGACGACCTAGCTGTAGTGTAGACCTCTGTAGCTGTCCGTGTCTCTGAAAGCATCGCGAGAACTGGACCTACTAGGATATATGCTTTCAAGTAAAGGAGAAACACAAGTGATGCACGTTGAGACGCACTTTGTTTGCTTTCAAACATAGCCGAGTCGCACTCTGATCTGTTACGCTAACTTGCTCAGTTGCTTGCTGCACCTGCATCTACGATTCTGCCCCGATGGAGCACTAGCTGTTAGATGTTGCTTTCACGATCCTGTTCGGCTGACGGTTCTGGGTACTTGGGTGCAGGTGAAGATCGGCGACCTCGGGCTGGCGGCGATCGTGGACAAGGACCACACGGCGCACACGATCCTGGGCACGCCCGAGTTCATGGCGCCGGAGCTCTACTCGGAGACGTACACGGAGTCGGTGGACATCTACGCGTACGGGATGTGCGTGCTGGAGATGGTGACGCGGGAGATGCCCTACGGCGAGTGCGAGAGCGTGGTGCAGATCTACCACAGCGTCACCAACGGCGTGCCGCCCGCCGCGCTCCGGCGCCTCAGGGACCCGGAGATGCGGGCCTTCATCCAGCGCTGCATCGGCAAGCCGCGGAACCGCCCCTCCGCCGCCGACCTCCTGCGGGACCCTTTCTTCCACGGTATCGACGACGACACCACCGGCACGCTCAGCTAGCAGCGCCCGGTGGCGAGGGTGGATCGGACGTAGTAGCAGTGTTAACTTCTCCGTGTTGTTGTTAGTGGTTAGCTAGTAGTAGAAGCACGACGCTGAGTCCAAATGATTGTTTGATTTGTGCTCCAGCAAGTAAGCGAGCAAAATGTGTAAAGATCATGCATGGTCTCGACGGAATTCGTCTGGGCCAGTCTGTATTCTTATTGTTGCATTCCAGTGGTACAGTATTCCTATTGAGAAGGCATCATGGCTCATGAACAATTAATAACTGTTCAACTGAATACAGATGATGAATGAGCCAGTATGGGCTCTTTAGAACCTTGACGCATTTTGTTTCTATTTTTACCGAGAAGAAAGATGCCGACACGAAATGCTACTTGTACGTACTCCCTCAGTCTGGAAATACTTGTCATTAAAATGGATAAAAGGAGATGTATCTAGATGTATTTTAGTTCGAGATACATCTCTTTTTATTCATTTTGATGACAAGTATTTTCGGACGGAGGGAGTATTTGCTATGAGGATCTCAACGAAGACACGATTTCCAGTCTTGCAACCGTGCCCTGTTTCTATAAGGCCTTGTACAATGGGAGATGCTTAGAAAAATAAACCGAGTTCTTTTAAGCACCGGTGCCTATTTCTACACAAGAGACGCTTAGTTAAGCGTCTATCTTGTACAAATAAGCATCGGTGCTTAAGAAAAACCTGGTTTATTTCTCTAAGCACCTTGCATTGTACAAAGCCTAAGTAGCATCCAACTCGCAGAAAAAGTTTCACTGCGCAAGAAACAGTTACGAATTAAGGCAGAGGAGACGGCTAGCCCCTGAGGCCTGAGCCAAGGAGTACATGTTTCTGAAATAAGCAATCAAATGCTTGCACCCAACTTGTTCATATTCTTCTCGTTTAAAAATATAAACTCGTTCAGATTGCATCTATCCACTCCATCGTCCAACTTTTGCACTGGGACTTCACGCAAGATGAGACGCTGTGCATGGCTACAAGTGGAGTACAGTTATTGCGTAGGCTCGTTGAAGAGCCGGCTTCTAGGGAAAAAACCTGGAAGAGTACCAAAATCAGCTGGAGACGACTGGAAAGAAAATAAGCTGGACGTGGACGGGAGGCCCAACTGATACACTGGATATGGGCACTTTTTTTTTGTTCCTTAAGCGTGGGGAGCATGACGATCGATGGACAACTCACACCCTGCATTGCGCACAGACTGTCCGGCAACTGACGCGTCCAAGGCCACAGAAATAAGATGGTGTTGTTGGTGCGTCCGTTGGGTGGTGGATGATGGGGCATCGGCGTCGTAGCAGCTGGGGCATTTAGCCAAGCGCAGCCTTGGGGGCGAATCTCACTTCGTTTCTGCATCATGGTTTTGATGTGGCCAATTTCCCTTTGTCTTGTTGATGAAACGCTGACATCGTGTTAAGGCACGACTAAATCGTCGCCGGTTAGATGGATTACTAGTGGTTGGGGCGCGCCCGTGGCGCGCCGCCTGAGAGGAATCTCGGCGGTGCCAGGTTGGGTGCGCCCCTTTCACTTTTCTGGGTGTACCGCACAGTGCTATTGCATGAGAGAGAGCATGAAAGTAGTGTTCTACATGATCGATGCAACACATTGACACAATAGGTCATCTTTAGAAGAAAAGACAGTTACATCATATATATTATCAGGTGCCTTAGAGGTTACATGACCGATGACATAGATGACATTGGTTCAAAAGCAACGGCAGCATCCAAAAGCGGGGCACGATCAATCAATCTCATGGGAACATTTTCATTTCTTGTTGCAAAAAGGAAGTTATGCCCAAATAATTTCCTGTCAATGAGTAGAACCAGCTCACCTCTCCATCTTCCTCCAACTCGCTTATCCCGGTGGAAATGGCGAGGATGGGCCAGTTCGGGAGAAGATGAAGAAGTGGCGCCGACGCCATGGTCGTACGTGCATGTACCAGCCTAAGTGTGGCACTGGCACAACGAAGCAGCCGACGTTGAACCAATCTTTGTCATCCTGACCCCCAGCAGCTTGTTGCTTTCCTTCCCGCTGAACATACTCGACAATGCAATGACACTTGAAATTCTGAAAGATTGAGCAAATAGAGGCTAGGTGTAATGAGCTATGAGACTAAAACCACCAACGAGCGCACGCACCTGAGTCCGTCGACGCGGCCTTGGTATTCTTGGTGGTGACCTCCTTAGCTTTTCTTAGCAATGACAGGATCTCATTCAATGTCTCAGATTCAGATGGAAGGCCAGCACTGATGTTGCTATTTACTCTTTGTAGGAACACATATTAGATCTAGACGGAAAAAATAGCAAGGACATACTGGAGGTGTCACCTTTTGTTAGCACCAACGACATTCTCATTGGTATCGACTGTTTCATCCCGTTCACCAATCTTCTGCTTGTCGTAGTTGTGCCCAACTCTTTAACATAGGAGTGACAGAGGAATTAGTGCATATGAAGTTTAGGTGAATCACTATGTATGCAACATAGGTGAATTTACTGCCGATGAATTTTGTCAAGTGTCATCCTGAGTGAATAAATAATTCAAATGATGCATGTTTAAGATAGATACACAAGAGTACCCAGCGAGTTGTCCATAGGGGAGGTTGGGATGCACTTGTTGTAAGAGTGCGATATGATAGTATTAGAAGTGAATGATTTTTTTATGTGGGTGTACTGACTAATACTTAAATAAACAGGAAAATTTGGAATGGCAGAAAAATAAGATGCCCAGACTAAATCTGACAGTACAAATGCTGCACTACTTAACAACAAGCAACATCACAGAATTAGCTAATCGAAGTAGGCTATGTGTTCATCTTTTCATCTTCAGTAGATCATAGTTTCATGTTCCAGATTGCTGGATATCAAAAGAAATACTGTCAAATAAAGTCAAACTACCAAAGCCAGAAGATCACCTCCTAAATATAAGGTTTCAGTCACAGCCAAAACAAAAGGGTAATAGCTATCATATGACACCAAATTTACTATGACCAAATTGCAACCTCTCTAAGGAAACGTAGAGTTAATTCAGTTGGGATGAAAGATCTGAAAATGCAACAATTATGGTGAGGACTCAAGCAAAATATACCTGTTCTGCTCTTCTTAGTTTTGCAAACATCCCCCCCCCTTTCTCCCCCTCCCTCTGAAAAATCTCCACTGCATCCCCAGTGAAATGGCCAGAACAATTTTTTAGAGCAAACACAGTAAAACAAAATCCTTTTTTTTACTGAGATCTCAAGCATGTTTTGGTTGTTCCTGCAACAACAGAAAATTCAGTACACTACACAAGAGCAGGAAGCAAGGGGTCAAACTTGCTTCTGGAAACAACAGGAAAATATATGCAAAGAAAACACTAAGCTGGCCCATCTTGGCGGCGGCTACTGAATATATAGTATGTTTAGCTATAAAACCTTGTATGCACTTGATTTGACAGCTAATTTATATCAGGTCAAGTAGACAAGAAAACAATTATCCTAGTAGTATTATCGCAAAAGAAATGATTAATCTACAACTGCCTACCTCCGTGAAATCGCTCTCCTTCTACGCACTGTTACAACAACATTTTCTTCCAAGATGGCCACACTACTGAATGAGAGTAAGTAAATTTTCTATATAAGCACCTATATACTCCCTCCATTCCTAAATATAAGTCCTTGTAGAGATTCCAATATGAACTGCATACAGAGCAAAATGAGTGCATCTATATTCTAAAATATGTCTATATACATCTGTATGACTTATATTTAGAAATGGAGGGAATATAACTTTGCCTGATGAATGAGCACATTAGCAAACTCAACGACTCATTTTTTGTTCTTCCTAATTGAAGTATTGAACCTTCTTAATGATAAAATTCCAGACCACATAAAATTGAGTCTAGGTTGGATCAGACTCACCGGAGCGCAGAGCTCGGCCGGCCGCCGAGAATGACAAAGATAGGCCTGGCATGGAAGGTGCAGGAGGTCGAACCTCCGCCCTGCCCCTCCTGCCCTATGTACCGCATTTGGGCAATAAACAGAGAGCGGAACTGCTCTGCTACAAAAATTAAACAGATCCACCAGACTTGGCCCCAGCAGTCCTTAACAAAAAAGTTGTAGTCTCCTTGTACACCAAACCACTTTTCCTAAAAACAGCAAGAATAAGAAATCAGCAATTCCGCAACCAAATATGGATACTCAACTTCAGTAAATCAGTTCAGTTGTTAAATAAACAGGTAGTGTAAACTACAGAAATATTGGCGTTGGACTAAATCCACTTGAGTGAGAAAAGTTCATTTATTATTGGCTAAAGCAAAAATGGCTTAGTACATGACACCAGTTCTAATATCCTTGTGACTCCTTTCCGCAGATGTAACAAACAGTTATTCAAAATGAATCGGATAACTGCTTACCTATCTTGTGCCAAGCCGGGTGGCTGGGGTACAGTGATCATTCACTTACGTTCTGAATTTAACACTCCAGGGCAACCAGGACCCAGCAGCAAACACAACAGGTCTGCAGCCTCCTGCAAGAACAACAAATCCATGCACCGAATCTGTCATAACACCAAATGTCATCTCTTGCATTGAATCAATCAGCAGTTTGTCAGGGCTGCAAATTAACTGAACAGATATACGGTGTATTCATCACCAGCTAAATCCTGAAGATACAGAGACATTCGGGCATAAATTAACGAATGAGGCAGTAGAATACTAAATCAAAACAACAGACACAAATGGAGGAGATCGGCATCTGTATTCAATAAATGAGATAAAGTTCAGATTCTTGATAGCCTATAACTATTCTTGCTTGTAATATTAATATTACAGAAAATAGAACAAAAAATTCAGATACGCATAACTGGCAATAGATCTTCATAGCATACTTGTACTTCCTGAGGATTTTAGTTGGTGCTATTCGATCACCCACAAAAATCAGGCTTCCTTGTGAGCTCATGATAGAAAGCAGTAATTCTACCAAGTACAAACAAGTGCACAGATTGAACTTTAGTAAA